AATATATAGTTATTAACCCGGTTAATAACTATATATAGACCGTTCGCATTTATAATGAGCAACATTTGATAGAAAACCTTCTCAATTGATAAATAAAATACTTAATTACCTCGAACGTCGGCAATAAGCCTATACATCCCTCGGGATGTATATGGCTTATTGCCTCCGTTCGAGGTAATTAACTCTTACATCAGGGGGAGCAGGTAAAATCTTACAGTAGGTCGTCAATTGTACTGGCTTAATCTGAATGTTAGTTCCTTTAGAGAATCTACCTAAACGGATGTTGCAAATGCTRAAATAATGTAAATTGCTAATAAAAGGAATTTTCCTAAAGGAAATGCATTTTSGGGTTTAAATTCCGGATTAAAATAGAAACCAATGAGAAAATAGCGACCACAAACAACAAACACTTGTCGATTTCAGTCACGGTATACGTCGAAAATACCCAATGTACACGGCCTCCGCATGAACMCTAAATACAATAACCCAAACTGATTTTTAGATATGTTCTAGAAGAATATCTAAACAGTCCATGACGTGAGTTTCATTGAGGAAAAAAGTGGCGGACTTGATTTTTGTTTTGGCGTAACAAGGCTTAGATCTATGAGTGAATACCACTCAATGCTAAATATCATCTGACCGCTTTCAATAAATAGCTAAAACCATTATTTTTTACCCAATCAAGTCTCAAACATCTCTTCTATCAATTTATAAACATATAGTTTTCATATCTTTTTCCTATTCTGTATGCGTCAGTTGTTTTTGACTGTTTGATTCAACTGAAAATTTGCATTTTATTTTTTTATTTTTTTAATTTACATTCATATTTTAACAGGAAGCTTCTTCACTTATAAATGTGATTTTCGAGAAGGTCCTGATAGATAAGATATTTTGACAATAGTATGTAAAAAGTCAACATCATTATTACTAGTATGTAAAATTGTAAAAGATGAAAAGTTCAGATTATTTAGGTTTACAGGTTTAAAAGAAATTCGATTTAAAATGTCTAATCTTAGAAAACTGTTTAAGTGTGTCACTCAGATTGTTCCATTCTTTCATGGCTTGATACTGCAATGTTTGTTTTCCCCAGTTAGTTTTGGGTCGTGGTAAGCGAAACATCCATACCTCGTGTTGCAGCCATGCTCATTGAGCTTATTAAGCTTTAGATTTGATGATAATAATCTGTTTTTACATTTGAATATATGTAAACATCGATGGTAGTATCTGCGCTTACTGAGTTCCATCCAATTAAGTTCTTTCCGAGCATCAGATGTTGAGGAGTGTGGAGGACGATCCAGGATGATCTTGGCCGCTTTGTTGTGCAGGGTTTGAAGAGATTCCATAATCCAACGCGCACAC